ATGTGTGTGTGTGTGTGTGTGTGTGTGTGTGACCTACAGTATATGCACTGGCCTCTTGCATGTCACATTATTAGAGCTTAATCCTCTGAAATAAAACTTTGTATTTGCAATTACACCGATAATAATAATTTGGAATGGAAACTGCCTAAAATCAGTGTTTACCTCCCAAGTCAAGAAAGAAATAATTAAAATGAAAATGAATACCAGGCTCTCCATTCAAACAGTGTGATTCAGAATAAAACACCAGAAGCAGAACAGGTTGTGGTATGAGTTGGTATTATTGCACACACAGCTGACAAGGACAATGAAACCAGGATGATGAACATTTTACAGTAACTTGACTGGAAAAAGACACAGTCACATAAAAAATAAGCTCTTGTGCCACAGACACAGTAAACCCTATCAACCACACAGAGTAAAAAAAGAATTTAAAAAAATCATATACATGGACAAACAATATATAAAAAGGAAAATGTAGGAAGAAAACAAAAATGCATTAGGATCAATTAAAAAATATTATGGATAATGTTTAAGTTGTCTCTATGTGGCTTTTTCACATTCCCACATCAGTTGGGTTAAAAACACATTTCACATGTGAAAAGCAACAAACTACATGTAGCTGAGAACACTTACAAAGCCCAGCATAACTAAGTAGAGCATGTTCAAAAGAAATACTCTCAGCAAAATAAGAGGCACCAACAGCTCAAGTAGCTAAGGTTGCTAAACCATTGCAGCGAACATCCATGACGGCAGCATTGACTATTGTAAATGATGACAAGATCTCGCCGCAAGAAACATGACAGTAAACAGAAAGGAAGTCTTCAGAACAAAATTACTTCCAATGATTGTTATTTGATATCACAGTCCATTCATAGGTTTAAAGTATACAATAAGTTAAATTCATATGGCTTTATATAGTATCTATATTATATATTCTATGATTAATAGCCACAGCACACACCACTCATCCATAATAATATACTGACCTCACTTTAGCTCTGTGTGCCGCTCTTTGAATCTCTCCTTTAAAAATTATTTTCTGTGTTAAAATATTTTGTTCAAAGAAACTACAAGGGAGATAAACCAGTAAAGAAGTGAGTAAGCAGCACAGCCCGAAACTAGACAAACTTAAGATGTTTCATGGTAATAATTTAAAGTGATGAATTCATGCTTTTTATAGTCTATCAATAACATAACTATTCTCAAAACTACTGGACTAGCTCGTATTCAAATAAAACACAAATATTTAAATGAATAATTTGTTTTGGTTTTGAGACTGACACCACTGCTTATTTAGTATATGATAATCTTCCCAATATTAAAGGTACCTTGTGGGAACTTTGACCAATAGTGGCACATCAGCACTATAGAGGAAAAGGGTTACAGAGTTTTGTTAGCATCTTGTCTCTCTGTCACAGTGAAGTGATAATATGCCAAGAAACACAGCAATTCTATTTTATTTTGTAGATTTTGTCCAAATACAGATGAAACAGGCTCTACATTTGGAAACCTATTGTTCCATTCATGCTGGATGGTTAACACCAAAGACTGTACATAAAGATGGATGAGGCGTCCCCACCATCTTCCACTAAAGTACCCTGGATACAAATGCCACCATCTTGGCCATTTGGAGCCAGAGACTGCACCATAGCAATCTGGGGATGGAAGGTCCCATTGATACCCATTGATGTGCTAAACCAATCATGATTCAGTCTCAGCTTTCAATCATGATGTTTCAACTTGTTTTTTATCAAATGACTAATCGACACTAATTTACTGGAAAAATGTACACTTCAACATACACCAGTGTGATGAATACTTCCTAAAGTGAGAGAAAACATCTTTTGGGAAAAATGTATATGACTCTTACTTTTTGGTCTCCCGTTCATTAACATGGAGGAGGCAGGATTTATGAGCTATACTGCTGCTAGCCACCAATTAGCAATTGAGACACTTTTGGGGAGCTACCATGTTGTCCATCTTTACATGCAGTCAATAGTTTAAATGCATTATTCGTCTTGGTCACAACCTGATGCCTACAGTACCCACAATACAAGTTGTGAGCTTGTGCTTACGGCATGGACAGTCGTCTGTTTGTAAGCATATTGTGTTCATGACTGTCTGTAAGTCTGTATGGCTAAAATTAGAATATATTAACTTATCATCAAATGATAAATTAACTTCTATGTCCTATGACATTTTTGAAAATATCAGGAATCAAGTGACAACATGGTCATGACAACAAGATGGGAGTGTTCAAATGGACTCTTCTTATGAACACACTGATCTCATTTGAAGGCAGCAACACAATGAAGTTGATGTGTCTTTTAAAGATGTGTAGGAAAATGCAGTAAAGTTCAACAACCTACAGAGTTTCTCAATTCTTTTTCCTCTTATTTTAAAGCAGTAGCAGTAGCCAAAACCAATTTTTAAGATCCATTCCCTTCTAGTTTATAGCTTAAGGCCTCACGTCCTTTCTCACACGCAAACATGGATAGAAACCATGCAGACTTCAAATTTTTGTTAAACATTGTTAAAAAAATGAACCTCAAAGATACATACAAAGCAATTTGTTGAGAAACAATGAAAGTAAATATGACTTTGTTGGTTCATAAAAAAAAAAACCACATGGTACCTTTAAACTAAGATTTCCCACACGTCACTGGGTTGATAAAGTATGTTCAGATTCTCTGCCGGTTCAAGAGAACGTGAAAACACAAACAAAATCTGATTTCACAGACCAGCCATGTGGTGTCTGACTATTAAGTTAACCACACAGTGACGTGATTACAGCACCTTCCTGATTAGAACATTGTGACATTATAGGCAGATGTGATATTATCTGATTTAACTTGCTGAATGAACTAAATTCTCATTGTGTTACAGTTCAGATCCTGGAGTGTTTTTGGATTATGTGCTGGTAAAACATCCCCCTTGTTCTCTTCAGAGCCATTGATAGACAGTTCAGAACACAGCCCTATCTGTCTATCGATGACTCTGCACGGTGATGGCAGGACTGCTGTGATTGGCTGCCGCAGCAAGGCTGGTTTATGAAAGCCCCAAACCGAATCAGTGTCTCATCTGATCTTCCCTGTGTGTTTGGACATGCACTTCCCTCTTCTCTCTCAGCAGCTGCTGGATTCGATTTTGAAAAGGGTTCAAGAAGCTCTGCAGGATGCTGTAACTCTGCTGTTGCTCTTGGTTTTGATTATCTTTCTGATGACTCTTGGTGTGATGAACGTGATGGTTACGGTGGCTGTTTTGTTGCTCGCTGTTTTTGTTGTTCCGGTGCCGGAGAGTAAATGACTTGTGGTAAGTTGCAGCTAAGAGAAAGGATTTATAAGAGGAGAGTTTAATAAGTGAAAACACTTCAAAACATTGTACAGGATTGTAATAATGAAGCAAAGTGTTGATACAGTACATCGTCCTACAGTCTTATGTTAAAACTCACGGCTTGTGCAGGTGACTTTGGGCGTGTCCCATTGGCCGTTTGCACGGCAGCGTATCGTGGGGACATGTCTTTGGATGAAGCCCTGTTTACAGTGATAGCGGAGCAGGGAGTTGATCTCATATCGAGGCTTCATGGCCCCAAACATTCGAGTATCTTTCACCACAGGGGGCTGCCCACATGACACTGAATTGAAGCAAACACAAAATAGAAATTACATTATATAAGTCCAAAGTTGCAGGGGGCAGTCTGCCCAAAGGCTAACTGGAGTTCAACTATTCTGAGATCCGATGTGGAGAGCAATGGATTTAAATATGATGAGTGACTGAGGCAGCTTTTGTTCGTCTTTCAAAATAAATATGATAGAGCTGAGATCGCGCCTTGTTGCTAGTGAGGACCAGCCTGTTTTCATATACACTAAAAACAGCTGGACCTGTGTTGTTCATGTTGTTGAGTTGTGTTCTTACATAATATTGTGTTATATTATATTTTCAAATCAAGGAAAATGGCACGTTTCATTTGGTCGCCTGTCAGTGGCATCATATCTCCTTTGTACATGTGTCAGCGTTGTGTTTGTCTCATGGAAGAGTCAACATCTACTTTTTAACTAGATTTTATGTTTCATTCTGATGATTCAACTTTAGATCTTGGTTTTAATTACATATTTTAACCGGATGAAGGATTTCTGTCGTTGGATGTCTCGATCTTAAGCTATCAGAAAAGAAAAAAAACTGAGCAAATGTTAGCAGAGAACTGTGTTCATCAAACAAGGTCAGAGAAATGTCATTTTGAGAGTTTTGAGTGTTACTTCACGATCTTACCTGTTCCCTTTTTGCAGGTGAAAGTAAGGTGATAGTTGCAGGGCACATCGTTCCACTGTCCTTCCTCGTGCCAAATCATCACCACACAGTCCTCTCCTGACTGGAAGAAGCTGTCTGGCTGGTTCGGCCTCCAGTGGTCGTATTGCTGTCAGAACACAATTTGTTTCTACTACTTTACTGTGAACTGTAATAAGGATTAAGTCAGTACCTTATACCTCTGTACACTGTCTTATAAGTCTCAAAACTAGGTCATCACTTCATCATATGGGGAAACTTAAGATTATTTCCACTATTACCCTGCCTCAGTTAATAGAGCTCAAATATACAAAAACATATGTGTATGTAAGGGCTATGAAATCCCTGCCTATCCCCATGAGGGGGATTTATTCATCGCATGTGGCTGGGTGTAAGTCATTGAGAGACCAGAGAGTGGTGCTACAGAGACAACCATCACCACAGATTTAAACAGACCAAACGCTTTCTGGGGTTTAAATCTACTGATAAGATTAGTTTGTATAGTTTGTACAATTAGACATGACCATGAAAAAGTCCATGATAAATAGAACACACTGACTGTATGCATGCTGTTCCCCTGTACAAAACATGTACTCTACTGTATGCACACACACAACTCTTAACAAATTTCACCCTAGTAAGGGTGTGCCCCTATTCTGAATGATAACACATTACAACAACAGAGTCCCCCCAGTGTCAGATTTCAGTCGTTCTCCTCTCATCATCCTCCACTTTCACTGCATAAGTCAGCTCACATGCTGCATCACCTGATTATTCCCAGCAGATGGACGATGCGTGTGAGATTGCGTCATTGTGACTAAAAACACGAGCGGGCGTGGTGGTCTTAGGTTGGTGAGGAGATGGTATGGATCAATACTGGCAAGGAGGGGATGTGTTCAACAGCAGAAAAATGGAATAAGAAAATCTGTCAAACCCTCTGATCGAGTTCAGCAGTGGCAGCTGGGGATCATTCCTAAATATATCGTAGAAACTGTATCTTAATGTTGGGTGGCACAGTTTCTTAATGGTTGCCACTGTTGCCCCACAGCAAGGTTTTTGGTTTGAATCCTGTGTCGGCTGGGGTCTTCCTTGTGGAGTTTACATGTTAGCCCTGTGTCTGCATGATTTTGACTTGGTACCACCCACAGTCCGATGGCATGCAGATTGGAGACTTTAAATTACCCATAGACGAAAATGTGAGCGTGAATGGTTATTTGTCTCTGTTCCACTCTCACCAATTTTGTGTCTTCCACGACCCTCAAAGGATGAGCATTATAGATAATGGATGGATGCATGATTGGATGGATTGATATCTTAATGCTTGTAAGGCACTGTTTATGTTTTAACTAATCTGTGGATCATTTTCTTAGTTAACTGATAAATTATTTTATTAATAAAAGTGGCCATCACACTTTGTCAGAGCCATCTTCCAATTGTGAAGTCTGACCAAATGTTGAAATTTATTTTAAAATTAGAAAGAAAAAAGCTAATTCTCAGCTTTAAGAGGCCCGGACCAGTGAATATTGGGTACTTTTGTCCAATGACTGAATTTAAAATTAATAAATTAGCACATTAAATAATGCTGAAAAGAAAACTTTGATCAACTTCTATCTTGTCTGCTTCTTTGAAAAAGAAATGGAAAGTCACCACAGTTATTTCACTTCATGATATAGAAAGAAGGCCTGAACCAGATGTTATGAGAATCCATCCAATGGTGGTTGAGATATTTCACCCAAAACCACAACTGAGGTTCATGGTGTCACTAAAGGAAATTGCAGAGGATTAACAAAACAAGCCTGATTCATAGTCTGGGAACTGAGAATGTCAGGGCTGAATTTTTTGGCAATCCATCAAATAGACTAATTTTAGTCTAGATGCAAGAGGACAAATAACATCCCCATTGGTAGAGACAGAGCAGACACGGTTATCTGTTAAACTGTGTGATTGTTTTACCATTGGCCGGCCATCGGTCCACCTGAAGTCCCTCTCAAACATCTTGTCATTCAGGCCAATCCACTGGTAATCACTGCCCAGACCTGCAGAGCAGAACACACCAGAAACTATCTTTGAGTCTGCATTAATGTAACTCACACAGTAAGGAACATGGGGCAGATTTTAACAATGTCAGAGAGCAGCCTCCACCTTTGGTGAAGAGGCAGCTAGTTAGCAGCTGCCAGGACGCATGGGATCAGGATTATCACCCTGCACCTGCTTTTGATGAGAGTTTGTTTGTGGTTTGAACATGTGCATGGCATCAGGTGCAGAGGAAAATAATCACGGGTGTGAACAAATGAGATGGAGAGCTGGTAGCAGAGGAAATGTTTGAGAACCGAACAAGCCCATTTCTTCTCAATCAGCATCACAAAAACGCATTGAGCTTTGGTTTTTCATGTAAACTCTTTGTATTCTCTCTGTTTAAACAAACTATGTTTTATTACTCATTCTATCTTACGGACTCTCATCTGTGGATTACAGCACAGACCTACACAGCATTGAGGCTTTAGCTCTGCAAAACATTTCTAGACCTGCTTTAGAGATGAATGCTCTGACATGTGGAGTTCAGTTTATCAAAGGGAGGCACAAAAATAGAGTTAATATGTTTTTTAAATCTGATTTTCAACAACATTGGATTCGGATCGGAGTGTCGGCCTGGTAGCTCAGCTTCTCAGTCGAATTTAATGATCATAAAAATTGTTTGGAAGATTAACAAGAAATGTTCATCCAATAGTTGTTGAGATATTTCAGTCCGGACCAACAGACAGGGGCATTGCTGCTAAACTGATATTGATGAGAATGCTGTGTTTTCTCTCGTCTTCTGATGCACTGGATAAGTTGGACTAAACCTGACTGACTTGTCTCTGAATCTAGATCTCAACCTGTCTCCTGATTATTTCCTCCGCATACACAGAATATATATTTCATTATCCCAATCTATCTTCTATCTATAATGACAGAGAATGCCGCAACACATAGCTGTTGCTCCATTGTACTGCGCCAGTGCCACATCGTGGACTTACGATTGATGAACAGTTGTTCCTCCTGTGACAGGATGCTGGCCAGGTGGGCACCATGCAGCCGACACTCTCTCTCAGCAGCGTCCCAGGTGCGACGGTGTGTGAAGTACTTATAGCAATGGGACTGGAACTTCTGCCAACCAAATCCACACACCTCAGTGTCTGTGAGAAAGAAGAAGGAGAAATAGTTAAATAACTGTGTGTAAGATTTAGATGAAAGGGATCTATTGGCAGAAATTTAACGTAGAATAATTCTCATGATGTTTTCACTAGTTCATTTCATCTAAATTGTATGAATTGTAGTTTTCTTTACCCCAGAAAAGACCCTTTATATTTAAATACTTTATATTTACATGGAGGGGACCCTCTCTATAGAGGCCGCCATGTTTTTTACATTAGTCCAGACTGGACAAACTAATCACCTTTGAGTTTTTATGACAACTGAAGCTACCACAGGTTCTTTTTCATGTTTGGAAGGAGAGGGTGAGGTGAGGGGTGTTCAGCTTCAACACGCAACTTCAACACTAGATATCACAAAATTCTACACACTGCACCTTAATATTGAATAAAGTTGTAAAAACACCATCAACTTTTCAATAACATACTATGTTGAGAACAACTATCTAAAGTCTGCCTGTATTATTGAAGAATTTGCTGTACTTATACAAACAATAAGCATGCTGACAGTTGTATTGACTCAGCAGTGTATTCACAGTACTTGATGCTACTTTGAATGAATGCAGCTCAAGCTCAGCTGGTAGAGGGTTGTCCACAAACCAAAAGGTCAGGGGTTCAATCCCCAGCACCTCCAGTCTGAATTTCATGACAATGTATTAATAGTCTGTGATAGAAAAGCACTCCACATAGAAATACTCTATGGATATGTGTGTGACTGGGTGAATGCAACTTTGCTTTGAGGGGTTGATAAGACTGGAAAAGAGCTGTATAAAAAGGTCTATTCATCGTTGGTAAACTCAGCCTCTGGTGACTGATGGCAGCAACTTTACATGTTTGTTCTCTAAAGAGCTCATGAAGTAACTACAACTGAACCTTGGGTATCATAAATAGACAGAAACAGGGGAAAAAGACACATTTCACCTTATTTTATGGGTAGACAGGTACTTTTATAGTTGCAACATTCCTGTCACTTTTAATTAATTTAATTTAACTGCCAAAATAAACAATATGATATGGTCAATGGTACGGGCAGCATTTTAATTTTACCACCTCAACTACCTCATGCAGGTGTATGAGACCTCTGTTCAATATGATCTGCAAATGATAGATGACTAATCCTACAGTCACTGTGAGGAAATATCTGAATCAATTTGACTCTAAAGCACTTTCTCAAAAAAGAAAAAAAAAATTCTAGGCACATACTGTATTTTCCTGAATGCACCTGCAACCTTGAGGCAGTTTGATTTCTCAATGACTTCACCTTAGTTTTTCCATGTCCTGGACTGTAGGTAATTTGTAGGTCACACTGGCCCGATGAATAAATAGATGTAAACAGAACACGGCACAAGCGTGAGAGTTAGAATAGCTTCCATAATGGCCCGTACAAGTCGCACTAAACAGGCAAACAGACCTAAATTTGTTTGGACCAAACAGGTCACATAGAACAACTGCCTTGCAAACTCTCGATAATCAACAAACAGAATTTTATGTTCTGAAGATGTCCACATGTTCTCTGATTGAGAAATGTTGAAATGTGGTTATTGATTTACAGTGTGTGATAAAATAGAATTCACATTCTGTGTGACAGTCCTGTTTGGAACAAGGCTCTTAATACTGTAACTGTAGTCCACAGCAAGTTGGTTTGGACCCACAGTGTTCTAACATTGAGTCTATTGCAGCTACACAACAGCTCTGATTTGTTTATTTCTCATCGAACTGTTGAGAGAAAGAGAGAAAGAGAGAGAGAGAGAGAGAGAGAGAGAGAGAGAGAGAGAGAGACTGAGAGTCGGGGAGTTGAGGTCCAGCTGGGGAACAATGGCCCCTCATTCAATGAGCTCAGTAACATACAGTTGGACTTCATTAAACCTCACAACTCTCCAGTTGTCTGCAGGTCAAACACACACACACACTCTCAGGCACAACACACACATTTGGTTTGATATACAATGACTTTAAACTATATAATCAGCTCTCTCCTTTGGCAGGCTCAGTAAACAATGGCTGCTTTGTATCAATGGCTTCAGGATAATGTGCATGCCAATAAAGCTGTGATGAAAAGTTGCTGTCGAGGCTTTGGGATATTAGCTATCGTCAGCCCACTTCGTCTTTACAATTGCATTGTGTAGCCACCTGGAGGGTCAGGTGAGGTTTCCATGCCCACTAATAAATGCAGAGCAATAATCCATGACTCTCCTCCCGGCAGTTTGGAAGTCGCACAACACTATTCTGATATACAGAGGGAATTGGTGGGGTAGAGAAGGCCAGCCCAAACAGTGCTTCTTCCAGAATTGGAGGGAGAGCCTGACTATAATAAAGAGTTTAATAAGTCTGAGGCAGTATTTAGCCACACAGCTGCAAAAGCTTTCTGGCAAAATAATGGAGCAATTATCTGTTTCTTTCTCTTTCTTTCCACTGGCAAAAAACTACGAGAAGACATCTGTGTCTCTGCTTCTCTGTCTGCCAACTACTGTATTAAGATGCCCTGTATAAACTACACAGGGATCTTATTTACATCCAAGTTGCTACATTACGTTGCATACAACCTTTAAATGGATTCACATGGATACACCCTGCACACTGGGATTTACAATTCTTGTTTATACTACTTTTTGTTATGGAGTGATAATGAAAGAGGCTTGAAAACTATGAATTAAAAAATAAAGACATTCAATTTTACATATTTAAACCAATGCTGATCAGTAGTGGAGATACACTGAGTGTGTTTACTTCTGATAAACATTTACTTTACTTGAGTGCTTTACTTTAATACTATTTCATGCTCCTCTATGCCTACAACATTTCAAGAGAACATAACATAGTTATTACATCACTACCTTTATATTTAATGGTTACTTTGGAGATTATTGTAAATCTATAATGAGAGCATACAGTATGCTGCAGTAAATTAAGTCACAGATTTATGTAGAAACTAGAATCCCTTCTATTTCTGCTTGCATGTTAATGTGTCATTAATAATGATACATGTAGTACATTTCATATAACTCTGACAGACACCATTCTGCATACTGCATAGTGGCTGTAGGTACTTTTACATTTACAGTAAGTTAGTTACAATAACCTTGTAATGGTGGGTTTTTTTCAAAGAGCTTAAAGTTGGTATAAATGTGTGAATTTTGTGAACAAATAAGAATATATGATGCATACAGCTGTTTAATGTATGTATTAATGTACAATATTACCTCAGTCATTCATGTTTAAGAAATCGATGCAGTTCAGTGATAAACTTTGAAAATTGACTTTTACAATCCCTTGCCTATTAAAGCTGTTAGTATAATAACTGAACTGATGCATCACCTTAGTCCTGCTCATAAAACAACAGGAAGACATATTAATATCTCGAACCTTAAAGATGGTGAATGTTCATGGAAAATATTAATCCCTGGAGTCCACTTGTTTGCCTGAACCTCAATTAGGTGCTGAGTAATGACAGAAATGTTGGACGAGAGGCTGGAACTAATCTGTTGAAGAGCCAACGCCCAGTGCTGCAGGACGGCTGGAGACCAGAGACTGTTATAACCTTTAGACTACATTCTGTTTCTACCTGTGTGCACATGGGTTCCTAGTACACATGATAAGATCTATTCTAAGAAAATAAATTAACTCTGGGTCGTATACAGTATTGTAGCTTTGCTTATAATCAGTGATAAAACAGCATGACGAAAACAATTCTGACCTGACAACAAACACTAGCTGCCATATGATGAAGAAACCTCTTCATATTTCCTTCACAAGATGTTAAGAAACAAAACACAAACACACACACACACACACACACACACACACACACACACCACAGACCTTTACCACTATCTCCTTTTCACCCAAAACACACTTTCACTGTCTCTCTCTAATAAATGAAAAGTTAAACTGTTTAAACACAGAAAAAAGACTTTAAGATGACAGGATGCACAGGTAANTTTTGTGTGACACAGTTACAGTAACATGACCACATAACAGGGTTACATATTTCAACTAAGTTTGCAAGATGTATTTGTCCAAGCTTTGACTAGTCACGAATGAATCTTCCCTACAAACACCTAACAATGATATTCAGTAGGACATAAATATTCAGTAATATTCAAGACAGGAGAGACTATTAGCAACACTTCAGGCTTCTGTCCACTTTTGGTTCTACCTTCAAATTAAGTGCTTCCAGTAATCTAGATAAAAAGGTGTTTTGTTTACAATGTGGCACCACAAACACTGTCAATCCTGCAAAGTAGGATTTGGCAGCAAGGGCTGAACTGTTGAATTCATGTGACCATATTACACTTTAATTCCCTTTCTTTTAAACTTTGTTTTTGAAAAAATTAAAACCCATTTGTTACTTGAGCTAGAGTTAGAGCAAGTTATTTACAAACCAAAATGCCACCGGTTCCAGTTTCGGCTAGTCGTCCCACATGAAATACATTCCATTAACCATTATCATAAAATACAAATAAGACTTGATTTATATTAAAGTGTAATATTAAGAAAGATTTCAGTAGTGCTTTAATTTTGAACATCTTTTGAATGTAATTATTGAGAAGCCTCTGACCTTGTTCACAGAGCTCTCCTGCGTAGCTGGGCAGGCAGAGACAGGTGAAGGAGTTGACTCCATCCAGACAGGTGGCTCCGTTCATACACGGGTTAGACTGGCACTCATCAACATCTGCAGACACACAGCACAAGCCTGTTATTATTCCACGCCATCCATCTGTCACTAGGGGGTCAGTATAGTTTGTAAAAAAATAATAATAATTCTCTGTCTCTGTGCTTGAGTGTGTAGTATGTGTTTGTGTACCTGTTTCACAGTGCTGCCCAGTGTATCCAGGTGCACACGCGCAGATATTTTGTGCTCCCCTCTTGTAGCAGGAGCCTCCATTCTGACACACACCAGTTGAGCAAGGTAGGAGGTCTACACAAATAGCCCAATGCAAAGGAAAACCCATGAATAACATGCTAGTAAGTGCATCATTAGCAGTGCTGAAATGTCCTGTCACTCATTGATTCTACTATATAGCTTAATAACTGTATCTCAGCACAGCAAGCCTGTCCATGTATGATTAAGCTTCTTTAACCTTACACCAAAAATGTAAGTTAAAATGCAACTTGACCAGAGCCAGCTAAGCTAAATTGCAGTGCAGAGCTACTCCTGCCTACAAGGATTCTTAAATTGTGGAGATGTTCACTCTTTTCCTGGGACATGTCAACTTCTCTTCAATCCTTTTTGTAGTGGTTAAAAAGCCCACTAACACCAACTAACTTGTGTCTGCAGTGGGAATGGATGCAATTGTTGTGTAATGTGTGTCTTGGTAAATTGTTTAAAGGTTTGGTTTAAAACATGGCAGAAAATTTGGAACTTTTTTCAAACAACTGATTTGAAGATTTTAGATTTGTAGGCTAAGGCGATTATGGGTTTTGCTTCACTCTCAGACATCCCATAAATAGGACAACAATGAAGTAGCTCCATAACAATCCACTAACAATTAAGTTACTGTACCTCTGACATTCACAGAACTGGCCTCCACAGAATAAGTTGAATCAGTGCCGGACTCTGGTTGCTCTGTGGCCATGGTCTCCTCTGGTATCTGAGGGAGCGACTCCACCAGAGAAGGGACAATCATTCTGTCGTAATCCATCAAATCATCCTCTGGGAGAGGGGTTGCAGCTGGGTCAGGGAACAGTGCCCACTGGGGGACGGAGTGGGTGCTTTGTTCGAATGTGTACAAGGGTGATGTAGTGGAGAGCATTGGCTGGCTTACATACTTAGAGGAACTTGTGGTGGACTGTTTAGCCTGGTCTCTGTTAGTGTCGGTGGGGTGCGTGTCTTCGCCATCAGAGGTTGTGGGTGCAGGCTCAGCGGCAACAGCGGGATGATTCTTATCGTCTGTGGCAGCAAGGGAGCGATGTGTGGAGGGTTTTGATGTGCTAGATTCAGAGGTTGTTACCTTCATGTGTGTGGGGAGAGTGGTTTGCTTTAAAACAGCCACCTCAGAAACAGCCCAGCCTCTAGACAGCTGCCCTGCACCTGATCCTGTTTCTGTACCTGTTTCAACACCATAAAAAACTTCGGTACCTGCTGAAGGTTGAGTATGCTGGGTGTGAAGGGTAGAATAAATCGGTGGGTGTGTGCTGGTAAGTCCAGGGGTCTCCGGTGGGTCTTGTCCTGAAGCCTCATCTTCTCCAGAGGCAGATGCTTCAAAGTCTTCAGTCTGGGATTGTGTGGTGGTTTCTCGTGATTGTGGGTCTGGGATAAAAGTAGGGAACTCCGTCCCCCCAATTTCAGCCTCATCAGTCATCATGCCCAACTGGCTGTCTGCAGCTGGAGTGGGCAAAGCATCATGTGCAGAGCCCTCCTGTGCAGCAGCATCTGTGTCACAGTTTGGAGAACCTTGTGTTTGCTCACAGGCAGAGACAGCATCAGTGACAGGCTGGGATACACCGGGGAGGACTGGCCCTGATGGTGTGGTGGATGCTAGTGATGAGACATGGTGCATGTTTGGGGTTGTGGTGGTCTGATCATCTGGTTCTTGAGTTCTGACTCTTTCAAAATCTGTAAAGTCATAATGGACCTTGTATACGTCAGTGTCCCAGTCTGTATCTACATCTGGGTACATAGGTGCAGGATGAGTGACTGCATCACTGGTTTCCTCTGCCTTTGTCTCCTCTGTTTGGATTTCTAAGACATTATAGTCAAAAGGAGTCACGCTTTCCCTGCCGTCCTTCTCCTCCACCTCCATGTCTTCTACTCGAACAGGAGTAGCTGTCTCAAACTGATCCCCTCTAGCTTCCTCTGGCTGCTCTGGCTCGAAAGTCACCTGGTCAGATCAGAAGAGCAGGAAGACAGGTCAATACAGGAGAATCAGTCATGTCTCTTCAAAGGATCATTTCAATTCAATACAACTTGGGTCAGTGATAATAATCAAAGAACACTATGAATATACAACTCTGAAATCATAACCACTGGGGAAATGTGTCACATTTTGATCAAAACTGAAATGTAATGAGCATGGACACAAAAAATACAAATATTTAATCAATTTTAGGCAAATAACTCAAAACTTTCTCTTCAGAGGTTGATTTAGCTGTTTGACTTAAAATGTTCTTTTATTTGATTAAACTCATTTTAATTCCCAAAAGAAACTACAAAAGAAGCAGCAACAAAACAACAAGGACAAGCCACGAGAACATATATTATAGCAATAAATTTACTGAAACACTGGACAAAACTACAAAAATAAAACTCATTGGAATGAACCAACATGATCCTTAAAAATGTCCAACTACCTCGTGTTTTCCATTGAAGAAGCTGACAGTTGGAGGCAGTTTGATGGGTGTGGGCTCAAGAGAGTCTATGTCTCCACTGCCCTGGATAGCTTCGCTGGTCACATGTGAAAAGTCAGTGATCTGGGGGAACAAGGACTTGGAGCCGGTGATGCTGTTTCCAGGCTGGTTTAAGATTTCCAGGATGTGGTCAACTAGAGACAAACAGTATAAAAGGTGAAGCAAAACAAATAAATCAATAGAAACAAACATTTTGTTTTGTTTCATAACTTTATGTACTTTGACAATAATTCGATGAAGCCAAGATAGCGATAGCTATCTGCAAATCATTATAAATAATTATATTATTAATTATTGTATTGGCTTTGTGGGAAATATAGATATAATATGCCTGACCTGCCTATATCTCTAATGAAAATCAACCACAGGGACAGGTGTTGGTGCAATGTGTGGCACCTGGTACCAAATCATACTTGTACTGCATATGTGATTCATTGAAACTGGGTTTATTGGTGAAAACTGATCTACTAGCTTGCATTTTAGATTCTTGATATTCTCAGCTTCTCGAATGAGTCTTTGCTTCTTACTTTGTACAATTGTAGCATGAGTATTTTGGGGTTCGGGATGAAAAAAGGTGGCAGTTTGAAAATGTCAGTGTGGGACATCGTAACTGCCATTTTATGGACGAAACTCGATAAAATTAGCTTAAAATAAGTGCTATGAAGATGAATTTATATCCTCCATTCACAGTTTTAAAGAATGTACTCGAACCTTGACATTCACAAACAGTGTATTGGGGAGTCTAGAGAACAGAAAGAATAGATTTAGAAAAAGAAACAAACTATTTTCCTCATTATGAACACATACAGACTGTGCCCATGATAAATTGCTAGTTTTATATAATGACAAAAAGTGGATTTAGTGTTGAATAAAATAAAAAGGTGAAGTTCCATAACCAGCCCTTAGAACAGCTCCTCTTTTCTCAGTCCAATATATCAGTTGTTGCACTCTAGGATCCAAAAGTAGCTCATTTCTGATGTTGATTAAATTGAGCCAAGTGCCTATCTGGACGGTAAACAATCAGGTCTGTGTTGCTTATGATTAAGGTTAGTCGGTGCCAGGGGCTGCTCTCACAATGAATGCTTGTCTCTCCTCAGTTAGACGTCATTGTACACATGAAAATTGTATTGTGGGAGCACACACCTGAGTTTAGTTACTGTATTAGTTACTTTGGGAGGATGAACAGAGACATAACACTCAGTCAGTGGGCTATAGTCTTTTAACTGAGGCTATCTCACCAGTTGCAATTGCCTCAGTGTGTTGCCCAATGTCTAAAAGGTTTCTGTGGAACTCAGAACTTGATACCTCATGGAAGAGGAGAGACTTCACATCAAAACAATCAACACTTCAGTTTTTCCAATTTCCTCAAGTCAAGGAAACATTGAGCTGGTGGGCCTCATGTGATGGAATAGGCCTCTAACATTTCAATAATAAATACAACTGGTGAGATGGAACCACTTGGCTGTGAATGGGGGGGGGGGGGGGGGGGTAGGGGGTGGATGGCGGTTGCAGTGGTGAGGAGCTGGTGATATTAGTTGATGCAGGGGTGAATTTAATTATTTTAGGGCCCTAAACAAAAACAGAATGACCAAGTGAAGGATTATTTATCGTTATTTTTATTTTCTATGTTCTTATAATATCTTCAACATTGGGTAAAACTAGATATATGACTGAAATATGTTTGTCATTCCATGCTCCAATATTTTTAATACTCAATAAAATACTGTACAGTAAAACTGCAAACCTGAAACAGTGATAAGAAGTTACTTTCATTATCATGCAGGTCTAATCTGCAGGTTTGTTTTACCTGATTCCAGTTTCTTGAATGTGAAGCTTTGACCTTTTTCTTTGTCATGTGAGATAAACTGAACATTAGTCAAATAAAACAAACTCTTGAAACTGATTACCTTGAACTGTGGGAACTTCAAATTGCCATTTTTTGCTGTTTTCTGTCATTTTGTCTTAAGAGAATGATTAACCAACTGATCAGGACAATACTCAGCAAGTTAATATTTTTTAGTGGCAGATCAGACAGAGCATACTCCATATTATTAATAATATTATTATCAAGGATTTGAACATGATTGGGATATCCCTGTTTTTTCATTGAGTACTTGGACTATTCAGGAATAAATGTTTATAACATTCACTTTAACCACAGGATCAAGCTTTAGGGCCCCCTGAGAACCTCAGGCCCCCGGGGTGTAAGCCTGCTGTCATTCATCCATGGTGGTGATACAACAAATAAAATATGGGAAAAGAAGGGAGTGAAGAGGTTTCTGGATAAGTTGTTAGTTACAGAAATTCAGGCAGCTCCCGACAGCAAAAAGGCAATTAAGGTCAACTCAGTGTTTTGTTTCCAGCTCTTTCGACAGACATTTAAACCTGAACGTCAACACACAGCTCTCAAGACATGTCCGCCAAAGAGAACAGAGGCCAATCACTCCATCAGACCAACAGAGTATCATTGTGTGTGAGAAAAACAAAGAAAGGTGAAGACTAAGAGAGATTTTCTGTGATATATTTGACTGTTCATGGGGCTCTGCTGCTTTCCCACGGGAGATGCTGTGATGTGTTTACAGCATGCTAAGCTACAAAACTGGCCAAGTGTAGATGACTGACTTCATAACTTTCCACATCTGGCTCTGCAAACAGCGTGTGTGTGTGTGTGTGTGTGTGTGTGTGTGAGGATATGTGAGTGCGCAAATACAAAAGTAGGGGTTTCCTAAGAAGACAACAAACAAGACTAAATCAGATGGAGCAGATTACTGTTTAGTCCCCGACAGCACGCCATAACAAACATGAGGTCATTCTGAAAGAAATAGGTTCTCGCTGAAAGACCCAGCGGGTTCATATTACACGTGAAACCTTAGGGTCCCAAAGCCAAAGACGGTTAAAAAAGTGTGCAGGGGGAAATGCAGCTCACATATGCAGAAATATAGGTTTTAATTAAGGAGGCATGATATAAAACATCTTAAAAAATGTGCTAGTTATTGTATATCCAAAACTTTAAAGTACAGGTAGCTATTTTCTCAGCAGAGGGAAACAGCTAGCATGGTTCAGTCCACAGTTCAGAAACTTGTATAGATTATTGTTTTGTTTATTTATTTAAAAAAAATATTAAGTAGCACTACTAGTGAGGTTGATACTTCTAAGATATAAAAAAATAACACTGCAGCTGCCTCAATTACAGTTTAGTCTTTACACTGTATAACACAAGTGACCAATAATGTTTTGTCCCATTTTATGAATATTTTATACAATATTTGATATAATATATTTACTTCCCCCTCCCCACTATCCCTCTCTCTTCTCTCCCCTCTTTTCCACCCATCTTTCATCTCCTTCCCCCGTTTTCTTTGCTCACCCCAACCAGTCGAGGCAGATGACGCCCACATTGAGTCTGGTTCTAGAGGTTTCTCTCTGTTAATGAGGGAGTTTTTCCTCCACAGTCTCCAAATACTGCTCATTGTGGGAACTGTTGGGTTTCTCTATATTTAGATTTTAAGGTCCTGACCTTCTATGTAAAGTGCCTTGAGATAATGTATATTATGATTTGGCGCTATACAAATAAAATTGAATTGAATTGAATTAAAGCAGCTCCAAACCATATTATCTATAATAAAAAAATAGGACTAAATAGGAAACACTCAATCAAAAATCAATATGGTGTGTTTGATCAGCTGTGACATGAAGTAAGCTAGAAAACAACAAAGACTTGTTCACCTGACTGATTCTGGCTGTGCACATTGACGATGATGAGATGGAATGGAGGTTTGGCCGATGACTCTCCACCTACAGCAGGAATGGTCAGAGATTGGTCGAGGTCAAAAGTATGCGTCGTCGCTCCAGTGCTGACATCCTCTTTAAAAACGACAGCAGGATGTTCCTGCCCATCATCTCCACTACCAACAGGGATGCCTGGCTTTGGGCTGACGACCTCTGGGGTGAGCACCTCTGGACCAACATGCTGTAGGGTGATCTCTGGAAGCTGTGATGGTCTCAGTGTGGTTTCCACACCCAGCTCTGGCCCCGTGGTCGTCTCTAGAAGCCAACTCGGTCCCGATACGGTTTCTGCCCACACCTGTGATGGGGTCTCAACTGCTCCCACCTCCGCCCGACTGGAGCTGTTGTCACCGCTGCCTCCCTGCCCGCTCTCACCTCGGCCCGAACCCGCCTGGCCCACCTCCTCCCCCCCTTGGGAGATGTCAAGTTGTGTAGTCAGGGAGCGGGTGGTGGGTAAGGGAGGGAGCTGCATGGGGACCACAATGTCTTCTCTAACTGGTACCGACTCTACCTTGTAGATGTCGAAACTTTGAACATCATCGTTGTCTAAGATGAGAGTTGGGGTCACTGAAGCTGAGGTGTGGGGGGAGGTGTGGAGGGCCTGAAGTTGATCTGGTAAGGCTGTGTTTGGCCTCTCTGTTGGAGAGTATGCAGCCGGTTCTGGTCTTCTTGTTTGAATTTCAGCCTGTTCAGGGTCTGAGAGATGCCGCAGTGTTGTAGTGTGGGGATCGTACGTTGGGTCGTGAGGTTTTTTCACAGTTGAAGTTGTCGCTGGGCTTATGGTAGTCGGCTCTGGTAGTTTGGCTGAAAGAGATGGAAGCAGAGAAAAATATTCCAGTCACCTTTTAAGAAACATGGGGCCTACTAATGTAAAAGTAATATCGGTTTAGTTTTGCTTGGTTTAGTCCTGATATTTCAGAAAACTTTCTTGTTGCATTTCATACAAAACATGGTGCCATAGTCACTCTATTCATCAAAACTCCACCCAGAAACTAAGAGTTCATTTAAGATGCTGATTGATTTGAAGTACCTTAGATACTTTTTTAAATTCAATATCTTCATAAACAGTTGCTCATGTTTTATACTAAAGATTTAACCAGGAGAGCTGAGTCCATCCAAGACATGAAGAAAGAGACCTGTGAGTCTTGTAACATCATCTGCAATATTTGAAAAACATAAATAAACTGACAGCGCAGGCATAGGTAAGAAAGTCAATTATTTTATGTTGTTGACATCTCAGGACCCAACAATTTTACAGAAACAATTTGGATAGCATAATTAAAAAATCAATTTTTGCCGTGTTTTTAGGAATAAAAAAAACTGTATTCAAGATATGTATGGTACATACAAACAAACACTATGTAAAAACCTCTGGATTATAGACAGGAATAAAACTGCCGTGTTTGGTAAATGTAAGGAATATTGAAGTGCAGATTCTGGCTGCATTCTATGTTCCTATTCTGTGTCAGAGTGAAAACAAAATTACCTATTAATATAATATAATATATCTTGTGCTGAAAAGAAAGATACCAAACAATGGCATGGTTAAAATTTAGGGTGTGCTCACTTTAATGTCAGATAAAATGGTTTTCTCTTTTACTTTGGCTGGTTCTGACTTTTTGAGACATTTTTTCATGAATGTCCCAGTGAATGATATCTGAAGTTCTCTCTGATATTTGTGACCGTTACATCATATACTGTAAATGCAAAAGGCTGAATATCACATTTCTGATGTCTGACTGGGTATGAATGCCACACCAAAAAAGGTTTCTGCCAAAAACTATATTGACATATCAAGATAATAATAACCATGGAATAATCAACACAGTAAGCTTTGGGAAATGCTCCACAGCAGTTTAGATTATTCCCTTATCTGTCAAGAGTGGGCTACAGTCTGGCTCTTTAGAAAACAGCCGCCTTCAGCTATATCCAAGAAGAGATGTTTGCACAGTGAATCAGTATTATCATGACTCATTCAAAAAAGAAACTATCTGGAAAATGCTAATCATACTGCTGTAGGACTGCTGTTAGCTTACAGCAGACTATAAAAGGAAATATAGCAGCTTTGATTTTTGAAACATGAAGTCACCTGTCCAGATTAAAACACTTTCAGGCCAAGAGACAACAGAGCCAATGGTGTCAGAAAAATAACAGCAACTAAAAGCCTAATTGTTTCAGGAAATCTTGTCCAGAGAACAACATACAGTAAGTCCCTCGCTAAAACCTAAATCCATCTTCTTCTTTCTACTCTAAATATACTCTGAACAGACCAAAAGGCTTTTTGTTGTTAGGACCTCTTCAGAATTGTTTGATGCTTAGTGAAGATTTATATCTCATTATGTGGAATACATACCATATGAGAAAAGACAGGAAACACAAGTCCCAAACACACATACAGTGCTGTGCTTTGTGTGTGTGCTGAGTTCATGTAGTTTTGCTTCTTGGGAGTAAGCAGCAGGCTTTGAATGTCACTGACATAATGCTCCAATAAACGAGATGTAATTGACTCTCCTTCATAAGGATGGATGGGGTGAGGGGTATAGGTGGGGTTCCCTTCTTACACTCTTCCTCCAACTCCATTTTAATGCTATTCAAATACTTCTACTTCACAGAAAAGGATTACACATTGAAACATTTTAAAACTATATTCAAATAAAATGTTTAAGCAATTTAAGCAATCGCCACACATCAGTGAAGCTTGATATGAATTCTGAAATACGATAAAAACTAGACTGATAGCTGACAGCAGGTCTACAGGTTGTATGTGAACAATCATGTAGCAAGTGCATTGGGTTTGGATCCAAATCCACTTTGTGATTCAAAGGGCTTTTACTTGGTCTTTATAGATCATGGGTGTATAATTCAACTTCATGGCTCCCAGTTAAATCTCAGATCCCCTAATAACTCACCCTCCTCACTTACAAATCCCTGTATGGCCTCATTCCACAGTACATATTCGATCAGCTTCAACCTTACACCCCATCCGGGAATCTGCGATCTGGTCTGGTCACCATCCCCCCAAATCATTTGCTATTCAAACAATGTGCTTGCTGGACAAGTAAATATCAGGTGCATCTGTTTGAAGCTAGTAAAGACACACTGGTGGTGCTTGGCCCGGCTTTGCAGCAGGTGTGTAGCAGTGGCAAACCTTCACCTCCTGTTCACTTCCAATCTGTGCAAGCGAGGAGACGAATACAAAACTGCGACGGAGCAAATCCGCAGTGGGGCTTCACGTGGAATTGAAATGTGGTGAACTTGACCGTGCCCTTTTTCTGTGATTCCTTTGGAGGGGCCCATGCCCTAGGATGGGAACCACTAATTGTTTCAAACTGCAGATCATTTTTTCATTATAAACTGATCTGCAGATTATTTTCTTTATTAATTCATTACTTTGCTTTAATTGAGATATTGATTTTACTTGTAAGTAAACAGTTTAACATTGTTTTATTGTAACTTCACTAAAGGATCTGAGTACTTCTTCCACTGCGGAACATACTAATGGTGTTTACTGCTGACTGGCCTGCAGTCTTTGGGGATTAGTCGTATTCTGCTCTGGTCTTTCACACCACGAAGGCGACCCTGGCTGCGTGTTCGGCCCTGCCCAGATATGATGTCATGTGTTTGGCGAGCTGCATTCATCTGGCTGGGCTGGGGTCTGTCCTCATACTGTCACTTCTCTGTACATTAACTCTCTCCTGCAGCTCTGCCACCTCACTTAATGCTTGGCAGAAAACATCACGCAGTCTTCAGGTCCAGAAAGTACCTTCACGCTGCCAGACATGAGACTGCTTACAATTATATCATCTGTAAAGCATCATACTCAGAGTGTGTAATCAGTTCTTTTGCTGCGTATCTACTTCACACTGCACACACTGAAATGACCTCTCTTTTTAAGGTTTGTGTTTTTGAGTGCTTTTTAACAATGATGTTACTTATGGGAGAACTAGTTCTTCAATCCCCCTCTTTTCCACCTTCTCCTCCCTGTGTCTGTCTGTTAATCTCTGTGTGTGTGTGTGTGTGTGTGTGTGTGTGTGT